TCGAGAGAATCCTCGACTGGGGGGGTCGTACTTGTCAGGCTGGGTCACGGGGGATCGTACTCCTGACGTTCAGTATTATCCGTGGAATCGTGGTGAAGATAGGAGTAGGAGGGTGAGCGCAGCAGAAAGCGAAGATGTGTGAAAAAAAAACATTATATAAGACCAGTTTAGCCGCAAACTACCACGTGCATGAAACGGAAGGCCTAGGTGAAGCAGGCAACCAATAAAGCGTTAGGATCACCGTTAAACATTGAACTGCTTCGTAAAATGCGATCGCTGATCACTCTATAGGCTGCCCATCTTTGCAGAGCTCACCGTTTGATACACTCACTGATCAGAGCCAAAGCGGTGTCTGTAAACAACCACCATGCATCGAATGTCAGTGTGATCTAGCGGTCGGTTGTGTCGATGATGATGACAGAAAAACCCAGTTCTGGTAGCGTGTTTCTCCGAACATCACATATACATTCTTACTCACCTGTATCCTGTCGTCCCGATGATCATCGAATTGCTCGAAGCGGGCGCCAGCACGGCTCCATTCGTCCCTGTCGCTGCAGGTTGTCAATGGACCCCTCGGCTCGAGGGAACGGTGTCCTCCATACTTTCTTAGAGCTTTCGTGAAAGAGTTGACCATCGGCCGCGGTCGTCAGGTGTTCGTTTGAGTCGCCCGAGGGATCAGTCGTAAGCTCTGAAGGTCAACGGTCATGCAAATGCGATGACGTGCCGGGCCACCTTATCTTCGTATCCTTGCGCGAAAACGGCAGCTCCTGATTTCGATCGTGTGGCGAGTTCGCACGCGGTTCCATCTGCCTTGCGTTTACAGGGGTTTACTCTAGGCTGTCTCTCGACAGCGGTTGGATAACGCTGACGCATGCTTCCTGCATGCGCAGAGTCAAGTCTCTGAGGCGTGGTTTAGCGCAGGAAGGACAGGGAAGCGAGAAGGTGGGACGAAGCGGATGTTCTTCGCGCCATTTCTTCACTTTATCCTCGATGTTCTTATACGCTCCCAAGCCGCTCGTTGTCTTCAGCTCCAGCTCTGGAGCTTAGATCGTTCTCTATTGATTTTCCCGACTAAAGTAACGGTAGTGGAGAATTCGTACGTTCGTTCCGCGGTTGAGAATGAGATGGGATCAGAAACCAAATCCGTTTTCTAAAATATTTCGTTAGGTTCAGCTGTAGGACCGACTTACCACAGGCAACGCAGTCGAATCAGCCAAGCATTCGCTCGCTTGTCGATGTTCGGCGTTATAGAACGATGTCGTCAGCAAAACGAGGTGATGTAGTTGCGGCGTCACTTCACTCCCATGGCGTCCATTCAGTTGACGCCATGACGTTCTCGACAGCGGCGCTGAGAGTTGGGCGGAGATGTTGTCGCCCTGTCGAACCCTCTCTTGACGTCGAGATGACCTAATGTATGGAAATGTGAGATTCTGGTGTAGTTGCTGTAGAGCTCGACGAAGCAATCTTGATGTACTGTAGTAGGAAACCTGGTTGCCCAAGCTTCGATGACCTTCTGTCTCCACGAGTCCGAACGCTCTTGCAGTCGATGAACGTGAGACAAGCGGCATCTTGTACTCTCGTGATAACTTCATGAGTCTTGTACCGTGGAATGGTCATCGTGCTGAACCTCTTCGAAACTGCTTCTCGATATGCTCCTTTCATCTAGTATTCTGCCGATCTGTTAAGGATGCCTCGAGTGTAGCTTGTAGATAAGACAGAGCAGATTGGCGATGAGTTCCAATTGTCGTCAGGTATCCTTTTGCTACAGCACCGTCCGGCTGTTTCCCTGGAGGTCTGCATTCCGCTAAGAGCGCGTGAGTCGACAGAGTTTTGATGGATGACTTGCGGCGCATTCTTCAGTGTTCGGTTGACCCTTCTGAGACGGGTGTCTGTACATTTTACGACTTGATGGCCGTGTCGGACTTCGAAGAGAGAACTGAGGGGAGAGTTACCATCTGTTGCAGTTGATAAAGTGGCAGATGGACATGGGGATATCGAAAGAGATCGAGTAGAAGTCAGTGGATGACTTTCTCCATTGCCTTCGGTGCAGTTGAATTTCCATTTCGGACTCGGAGGCAGGTCATCTTGGTTTGAGCTGGGCAAAGCTTACGGCGGGCATTGCGGATGCTCCTCCCGCCTTGACTGCTCAGCTAATTACGGTCTGCTTTCGCTCTTGAGATCTTCTTTATCGACTCTCTGCATAGCTTCGCAGCTCACGGGAGTCGTATGCCGCAGCTCGTGCCGGCTCACGCTGCGTATCAGTCGGAGTTCCGGAGACAGACGTCCCTTGGTGACTTTCAAACTCTCTGCCTTCTTGCCACAATCGTGAAGTGTTCAACGATGGTACTCCTCGTCGATGTGTTCGATGACGGAATCCGTCCCATAATGCTGACGAGGAGCGAGTGGTCAGTTGATGGACTGTCTGGGGCTTCGATTCCTGACTTCGAGGCTTCTTCAACCGCATCGAAAAGTGGACTTTCCGGAGGAGCGATGGTCGGATCCGTGTAAACTCGGAACAACAGCGACGTAGGTCAGCAACTTCGAGGAAGATGAAGTGTCGATCTCGGTATGGAACTGTCCTCAGTGTACTCCCAAGTCCACGAATGAGGGGTTGGACTGTGGAGTTAAAGTGGATGTGTTGTCGACATGTAAAACTCGAAGTCGTCACCTGCTCATTCATTATTCGTAGTGAGGACCGATGTGAGTTTCTTCATCGTTCTTCTTGTGCCAGCTGAGCGTTGAAGTCGCCGCCAAGATCCGAAAGACGGTATGATTTCTTGGTTAGAACTTCTCCAATTCATATAATGGTTCGTGTCTTCTTCGTGAGCTGGATGTTGGTGCGGTTGAGGCGCGAGATGTGTTCAAAGCATGAGTTGAACACTCGTCTCAACTCAACGTCCGTTTCGGGTTGTAAGGCTTTCTACGAAATCGTGTTTAGGGCAAGTGCCGTAGTTGACGAGGACCCCACACCACCAACGCCTTGCTGTCGCATGTTCATGGACAGTTCTTCTCAGTACGAAAACGGCGTGATTTACGGCGTGCCTTCTCGTCTCGGTCGTTCGATGACGTTACTGATCTTCTGTCCTGAGTCATCAGATCTCGATTGCCGAGATGCAAGCGTTCGTGGCGTTGAAGTACAGATCGCCATCTTTAGGCTTCTTTTAGGCAGCTATCGGGCCTGAGATTATAGCAGCCTCTCCCGAGCGTGTCCTACAACGCTGCGTATTGGGGCTCCGCAGGTATCGGGAATGAGGCCATCCTAGATTCTGTTTTCGGCATATTGAGGCACACGATAGCTTGCGGCTTGTGCGTGCGGGCGAGGATAGGACCTCAGGTAGTGTAGCACGCTATTGGAGCGGGAAAACAAGGGCTATTTTGAGAGCGGCCCCGATCGCCTCATGTATCCGTCACTTAAATGCAAGCTTTGGCTGTGCCGACATGCAGATACAACCGCCAAACAGAGCGCACCACACACGCAACATGCATCGTATGGCCTGAGTGAGAGACAGCGGTATGAATAACACAACTGCAGGAAAACAGGAGTCCATCCCCTGAATTCACCTGCGTCAGGGCAATTACCATGGTGTTATTGGTCCGCATTTACCGCTATCGCACTGGGGGGCCGCACGTAGCCCTCGCCACCACCGGCTCGAGAGTCTTTCAGTGAGAGAGGACCTCGTGAAGAGTATCGTGGCAATACATTCTTTAGGAATTCTAAAGAGCCAGCGCGGTCTAATAGTATTACATTTCGGTGATGATAAACAACGACAATCAAAGATCTTGCGCATATCTTATTATCGCCCTTATCCGCCGTTATCACTTTCGCTCTCCCACCAAAGACGTTCCGTCCTAATCTCCACAACACTGCAAGCACTCACTGTTGCTGGACGCATAAGCATAAAGCATCTGCCGTTAAAAACCACTTTTTGGGATGTGGCACGCATTCTACTTAAATTAAGGAAGGCTTGATTGGCCCGGACGACTCACAACCCAGAATTCGATCCCGCCTCCTATCGGATCTTATCAGGCGTCATCACTATCTGACCCCACCAAAGATGTTCCCCACCCTCTACATCACTTCTTAGAACCGGCGCCTCACTGTTGCTGGGACGCGCGCTATGGACATCGTCAAATCGGCGTTCTAGCGCCTCTTATCGGATCTTATCGTCGTTATCACTTTGGTTCTCCCACCAAAGATGTTCCCGCACCCGCTACAACATACTTAAAACGCTTTACTGTTGCAGCGAAGTGCTATGAATTTCGTGACAAACAGACGCACACACACATACACACGCACAGACATACAGTCGGTATTCGAAAGTTGGGGTGGGTGTGTCACCGACAGTGACGTGCACTTGATAGAAGTGCGTGGATAAACTGTTGCCAGCATGCTTTGCTGATATCCAGCAAAAATAATAAAGCGTTGTAAACTGGAAGGCATGCTAAATAATTGCTGCCGAAATGGCTCGATTTGTTTAGAATGTCAAAAATGGCTCCGTTGAGAATTACTGTGCGAGTATTGTCGAGAAGTTCTCCTTCGTTCGCTGCGCTGGCAATCTTTCAAGGACTATAGCCTTTCTCGGAAACGATTTTGTACAGAAATGGAAGCAAATTCGGACCGCACAAGCTTTTCTGCTTTTCAATAAGCACGAATGTACATGAGAATCCCCAATTTTAGTGATTATATGTTTGCAATTTTACGCTGAAATCTGCATTTGTTCTTCAACCGTGGATTCTTCCTGTCATTACACACGGTCCCTTTCAGAATCCTCTCGAATCCCGGAACCGAAATTTTCCAGGAAGTCGTAGTTGAAACGCTCGCAGCTAATTGAACCAATTCGTGGACACGCCGAGTCTACAGTCTGAAGGGACGTGAGCTCACATCCATTCAGACTCGTAGACTAATTTGAAAGATAGAATATCCGTCAGAAGACGTGTTGATTTAGTAGTCTTCAATGTTGACCCTGGCTGGTGTCTACTTGGGCACTTCGTCCTTGGTACTCACCTTTTCGAAGAATTCTCATTGCTAACAATCGGAGAGGAAGATGTGGAGACGACATAAGATGCTTAGTCCTACAAAGTAAAATAAACAGATGGAATGTCCCTGGAATAAGATAATTCACCTCAACAAAATGTGCTCGACGTCAGCGATCGGTGATGGGGGTTTTCTCTTGCGAGCTTCTAGTGCTTCTTCAGAGTCATTGCCAACAATTAGGTTTGTTTCCTTAAGAAACGCACTAAAATGACAAACATAGTAAACAAAGAAAAAATGACCTACCACCTCCAAGGGCTTCAAATCAGAGAACCATCGGCCTACAGCCGAAACGAAAGAAAGCATAGAGCGCATGACCAGAATGCAGAAGTCCTGAACTCTTTCTTCGCAACTTGGAGAACATGGTAGTGGGGAAGATATACCTGTTTGCACCTATCCAACCCCTGCAGTAGATCTTCAGCCATGTATTTCACACTGTCGTACACACGGTGATCATCAACTTTATCCAGTAAGGAGCAAAATACCACTGGTGCGTGATTATGCTCAGAACGAGACCGAGCGGATATCGCAATATGGTGAACGATATATGTACTATGTTTGTATAAAAATTCTGAGACCAGCATACCCGAAGCCTGAAAGTTTGAGTGATTAGGTCATTTCCGTATGCTTGTAGAAACACTTGATTCAAGTCACTGACCGATGCAATCTTAGAAAGCGCACAATCGACAGCATCGTGTATAACCCATTCAGATACTGCATAAAGCTCTAACAGTCGATATATGAAATCGATAAGTATCTATTAATAATAAAGAAGTATACATGAGTTCGAGAAAAGATTGCCAAATTATAAAAGCAAAGAAAAATCAGATCTCGTACTACCTTCAACTGTCTGTTTTGGTCCGTAATTCGGGTGAACGCAATAGCCATCAATGACACCAGACTAACGGTCAAGACGGTCTCATCTCTGGGACTAGGGATAACATCTAAAAAGATATGGAAATGGTAATATTGATATTTGAAAATAGTGTTTACCTTTTTAAAGTTTGGTAAAGACTTTAGAACTAACTACAGAAATAAAGCCAAAGGAGATCCCACTGCACAAGCACACTTACTTAATGGAAAACAGTTCAGCTGCGCACGCTACCGCGCACATGAAACGGACGGTCTAGGTTAAACATGATAGCCGATAAAGCATTACTACTGCTGAACCATGAGTTGCGTCGTAAAATTCGTTAGGTGACCGGTCATAGGCTCCCATCTTCGCAGAACCTCACCCTTGATATGCGCAGTGGAGTGCAGAGCTCAAGTGGTGTCTGTGAACGAATCTGATGTGAGGGTAATTTAGCTGTCGCATTGTGTTTAATATTGAAATGGGAATACCCAGTACTCGCATGTATTTTCCAACCATCCATCATACATTCGTAGAAATTCTGGGGAGCGTAGTGATCCAATGGTATTTCGGGCCGATGATAACAACGCAAATGAAAGGATACAGAAATGAATGCCTTATCTAGAGTCTGGTTTCAAGTGACGTCTATATTTTTGCTCATATCGTTATTACTAGGGCGGAAGTGGTGTAGTGACAAGTGGCGCGCTCACCACGCGAGCGGTTCGGGGATCAAATCCTGGGTCGTGAGTCGCCCGGGCAACCAAGCCTTCTATCCCTCCGGGGTCGCTTAATTGGTACCGGACTTGTTTGGGAGGATAAAAACACTGACTTGTAGATCGGCTGGCCCCGCAAGTCATTGTATAGGCCACATCGCATTCAAAAGCCACTGCGAATGTACAAATGGAAGTAGAATGCGTACCGCATCTCAAAAAGGGATTAATCAACAGCAAATGCTTTATGCTTTATGCTTTTTATCGTTATTATCGACCCATAACAGCCGTTATCACTTTGGGTCCCCCACTAATGGTCCGCTGATGTTTCTGGCCTATCTTCTATATCACTTCTTGAAACCAACGCTTCACTGCTGCTGGGACGCGCGCTATTGATATCGTGAAATTAGCGTACCCCTATCACCATGTTCCCGTCCCGCCCCCTACAACATACTTATAATACAGCACTTCACTATCACAGCGAAGCGCGCTATGAATTTAGTGACAAACAGACGTACACACATATATATACACACGCACAGACATACTCAGCGAATTATATCTAGTATGCCGGTACGTACACTACGGGCCCTACAGGCAATCATATGTAGGCGTGATCGAATCTTGCTAGAAGTTCCTCGAAAACTCTTCATTAGGCAATTACGAGTGCGTGAAAATTCAGTCACGGCGTTTGGCATGGTCATCGCGCCAGTCGTCGCAGCCCACGACGTCATCAGCTGTTGCTGGATTTCAGTACTCAAATATTGAGAAATACGAGAGGTTGAATTCTCTCACCAGGTATTTATCCCTAATCGTTTCATGGGTACAGCGGATTAAGCTAAGGTCCATCCGTACCCGCGTACGCCCGCCGCGTGTGCGACGTGAATCGATTTGAAATCTCTCAGCAATTACATGCATGAGTTATGAAGTGACACGACCAGGAGTTTTTCAGCCACTGTTTTCCACAAAAAGCAGTAATCGCTGCTAGGATCCAATGACGTCATGCCTCCTAAGCAGGGCCACTGTCGCCCGCGCCATTGTTACACCTTCTTAACACCTTTCTGGCCTGAAGCGTTTGAAGCGGGAGAAATTCTCGTCCCATGAGAAAAATAATTAAGCAGATTTTGAGAGTAAATCTGAGGATAGCTCTTCTAGAAATAGGAATATACATTTTGTTTTGGATGAAGTGGGACGTGGGAACTTTTCTTGCAAGGTAAGAGAAAAGGAAAAATCTTATCAAAAGTCGAGTTCAAAAACAAGCATCTATTTGGTCACAGACGTTCATTAACGATAAGCTAATGCACGAGTTGAGTAACCATTTAAGTAGCACTCCAATCATAAGAGCGAAAACAGAACCTATGGAGTGCAGCGGACTTATGATTTCACTTATTTATCATTGATTTCATGATCCTCGTCTGTGGAAGTAACAAATAATACAAAAAAATTGAAACGAAATGCAGGAGGGAACACATTTGACACGATCTGGATAACACATTGTGATTCTAAATTTGAAAAGGTAGCTGGACTTGGAACACACTTGCTCATCATCAAGTACTCCATACCAGCATGAAAGTTGAAAAACTTACGCCCAACGACGTTCGAGGTGTTGAAAGGCGCACTAGATTTCCGCTCTAGCTCTGTTAAATTTGCTCATAAAATGCGTGACTGCTCCGATCTAATCGTTTTTAAAGGAATCCTTCTCGATAAAACATGATTTTATCTTACTCACAAATCACTGGCTCCTGAACCACCGTCCACGATGAGAACGAACTGAACAAAAAACTGCACTTGTTTTGGTAAACAATTCGAAAAACCGGAAGGACTGGCAAGGCGCAATCAAATTTCCGCCGAACATCTGTCACAAACGCTAGCGGCGAGAGAGTTGCCACTTGGTTCTCTGGATGCTGTCACTAGGAACTATCTTTGGCCTTTTGACTTACTGTACTAACATCTCACATCCTACTGCATCACATTTTATCATTGTTTGGTCTCTGTTCTGTGAACTCAAACGCTTTAACCGGATTCTTTCCCTGCATCGCCTGATACGTAACTTCGTTCTCACTGCTGCCACGTCAGTAAGCGAGATGCGGCATAAGTCCCCACTTTTCGCATCGAGAACACACTTTGCAGGATTGCAAACTCAACTTCAAGTGCTGTGCGAAGGTAAGATGAAGGTCCCACGACTTAGTGACCACCACAAAAATATAATTACTATAGGTTGTCCAAAAAGTCATGGAGGTTCTCGAGCTCCACCTTCGGGGCAATACATCAGGTTGGCCGATAATTGATGTCGTCTTTCTTAAGATAGAAATTCATCCTCTCAACCCCCATGCGCTTGCGTAATCTTATATAGCACTCGAAAGGAAAACTGCCTGCTTTACAGAAATTTTTACTTATTTTAAACATCCAATGCGAACTGGACTCCACGCTTGCAAATTAGTAGGTCCAGTCAGCGAAAATTAGCCGAAACATTCCGCTTCAGGTTATCCAAAAGACCTCATCCTGTTTTCTTTCAACACTGGTTTTTCTGTAGACAGCACGAGCGGTTCTTTAAACTTAAAGCCCTACTCTGGAACGACAAGCCTGCGCCATAATGTGTCCTGTACCACAGACTCAGCATACTTCACAAAAATTCCCTCAAAATGATGATAAAATCAATTAACCATGCATATCAGGCTTAGCAAAAAATCGTCTGAACACCATCAGTTCTCATCTTTTCAGCGGCAAAAACTTCGAGTTCAATTCAACAAAGTTGTGGTCAACCATCGAGTTCTCTGGCGAAAAAAAAAACATTTGAGGAAAAGCAGCGTGATTTTTTAACAAACTGATACTCTCCTGTAGAAAACAGTGTTGCGGCTAGTTGCGGGTTTCACTAGTTTTTGTCGACGGGATCTCCTAATTTGCGAGCCTGAAACTCAACAAGTTCACAAAGAATGTAGAAAAGGAAAGAAGTTTTGTGAATCAGACCCTTCTCTTTCCCATGTTATATAACACTATGCAGAAACATGAGACTAGAGTGGAAATTTCCTCTGGAGAACGGCATTACATATCGGAAAACCAAATGTCTCAGCAAAGAGTCAAAATTCTGTCATTTAAAAAATTTTTAATCTACTTCTCTTCTTCAGTAAAATACCATGGTGACGCGTTAGCAACACTATTCAGGACTATAACTTATACAATAACCAGTTTAGCTCCGGCTACCGCGCGCAATAATAGAGCTGACAATCGATTAAGCTTAAGATTTCACCGCTAAATTATAGCTGCTTCGTTAAAAGTATTACTGTCGGTTGCAAAGTTTGCTCAACTTTGCTGTATCTCACTGTTTGATAAGCGTAGTGAAGTGCACAGCTAAAGTGATGATATAAACAACCACTATGCGTCGAATATCGAGGTAATTTAGCGGTTGTATCTCAAAACGGAATGCCCAGTACTCATTCATATTTATTCGAGCATCCCATTCATCCTCAAGGACTCTAGAAGGTGTAGCGGTCGAAAGGTGTTCGAGTTTACAATTACAGCGCTGATGAAATGATATTGAAATGAAAGGCATTATCTACAATCTGCTCTCTATTTTCTATTTCAATTGCTCTCTACGTTCGTACGCATATCGTTGCTATCGGTCCTCATCAGTCGTTATCACTTTTGACCCCTACCAAATATGTTTCCGTCACCTCCTAGAGTCGCCTTTCAGCGCCTCTTATCTACTCTTATTAATCGCTATCCTATATCATGCCCCAAAATCAGCTCCTGACGACTGCTGCGAAGCGCACTATGAATTTTGTGAAATTCAGGTTTCAGCGCCTCTTATCTACTCTTATTAATCGCTATCACTTGATGACCCCACACCAAATATGTTCCCGTCCCACCCCCTATATCACGTCCCAAAGTCAGCTCCTGACGACTGCTACGAAGCGCACTATGAATTTCGTGAAATTTGTGTTTCAGCACCTCTTATCCACTCTTATCAGTAGTTATCAGTTTGTGACCCTCACCAAATATGATCCCGTCCCACCCTCTATATCATGTCCCAAAGTCAGCTCCTGACGACTGCTACGAAGCGCACTATGAATTTCGTGAAATTTGTGTCTCAGCATCTCTTATCCACTCTTATCAGTAGTTATCACTTTGTGACCCCCACCAAATATGTTTCCGTCCCACTCCCTATATCATATCAAAAAATCAGTTCCTGACGGCTGCTGCGACGCGTGCTATGAATTTCGTGACACACACACACAGTAACTTTCGAGACACACACACACACACACACACACACACTACACACACATACACACACTACACTACACACACAACAACACACACACACATACAACATACACACTAACAACAAAACACTCAAACATTAATAACACATACACATACACATACACATACACATACACATACACATACACATACACATACACATACATACACATACACACACACAGCATTTTATATATAGTAGGGATACTAAACGCGCCAGCCAAATTCCTCATCTTGCTTCGTGCTCGCAGCTCGATGATTCAAGCGAACATTCCACCACAAAACTTTTCGCAGCTAAACGGAACCCGAAGTAGAGACATTTTCTAGGTTTCAAAGAGCAGAATAGGATAAAACTCACGTTCAATGGCGTCGTCGCGATTGAGAACCGGCGGACTTACTTCCTTGAGCCAACCAGCACACGTTTCCACCAGTGTGAATAGTACGTAAGATTCAGATGTTAAATCCATCTCAGCAAGAATAAAGGTGAGGAGGATTGCAAAAGAGGTTCTGCCACTTTTATCGCTGCTCATCATCTCAGTGAGTGCCAGTTCAATTACATGAAACAATGACATATCCCAAAGGTATACAATAATGCGTAAAGGAAGGGTTTTAGAAAGAAAAAAAAACAGTGAATAAAGCATGCAGCTTACACCTTGATGTGGATTTTCTTGGCTAAAACACCTAGTGAAATCATAAGCGGGCCCGCGACAATTGTAGGGTCTTCGCGAAAAATCTGTCGTCTTTTAACATTTCAATTTTAAATGCTTTGTTTTTTTTTGTCAGTTGACTCTCGAGCGTTCGCGACTAATTTTTTGAGCCTCGATAGGTACGACATGCTCGAAGCACGAATTCGGTTTTGACTCCAATTCGGCCGGAAATGAGCGGATGCGCACAGTCCAAGTTCACAATTGAGGCTGTACGCGATGATGAGATGCGCTTGCCAACCACGTAAAGTAGCTGCAAATGAAGCTGAACGACTCTTCAGATAGTCGCCACCGCCGGCCTTTACATCAACCGTGAACGCCGATTGGCAATTGCGAAAGACAGAAACAAGTGGTTTGTCGCCGGTGTTTGCTAATGAAATGAAGAAAATAAGTAAGTACTGTGACGGCCTGATTCGAAAAGTTCCAGCAATGACGGCAAGTCTCGAGTACGGTACGGGGGATAGCCATAACAGCCATACCACGTTGACACGATCACCGGAAGCTTTGTTCAAAGAAAGTGAGCACAGAATTGATGAGAAGCTTTACAACTCTTCCTGAAGCTCAACAGCAGCTGATTTTTCACGCCGGCCTGCAGCTAGTTTCGTTTTAGACTTGTCCTGGGCAATTCTTAACAACATCACAACAACAATTGTAGAAAAGATACAAAGCACTCTGTTGATTCTCAAAGCGGCTCGTAATTTAGGACAATGAAGGACAGTCTTCCAAGAACTAACGGATCCGTTATTTTTAGAAAAGATCGCGATGATAGATTTGCTTTTCTTCTGTTGACTCGGTGTGCTAAACAGTCGAAAAAATTCTGACAAGAAGCTATACCTCGGTACTTCCGTACAGTGCCAGAAGTTTACAAATAGGAAGAACAGAGCAGAGGGCATCCGAAGAGAATGGCAGCGTTTTGAGGAGATCTGAAAAAAAATCTTTATAAAACAGTATATGTGTTGAAACATACAGGGTGGGCAAAAATTACGGTAACAAAGTGAAACGGTAATAAAAACAATGTGGTCGAGAAGTCCCAAATTGAAATTATATTCATGTTGGTGGAAGATTACCAAACAGAAAGCAATATTGCCCATTGAAGTGACCGCTTTCTGCGTTGAGAAATAAACGAAGATTCCCTACTAAGTCACTTACCCTGCTGTGTAGGTCGGTGTGGTAAAGCATGCCCAACGTTTTCAGGAGCGACTGCTCGGACATTCGATGCTCCTATTATGCTTATAGCAATGCTTTGCCTTCGGCACACTCAATACAGAAATTGCGGTATTAGCGTTATGAGAGTGATGTTGCCGCTTCCCCAGTATGGCGATTTCCAATACAATCGGGTTGCGTCGATTTTCGGGTAATTTCTACATTGTGAATGGGCGCCCAATACTGCTCTGATGCCCTGTGTTTCCCATTGAAGGTCATTACGGTATGAAGCGTCAGTCGAGGTAGAAGGAGTTCGAAATGATTTTTACTAGCCAGTTTTCTATCTTGAGCAGCAGAGGTCCAATGTGGCCCAATCGTGATTTCTGCTCTTGTGATTTCTGCGAAAGCCATCAATGAGTGGCTGAATGACATTTCACTAGCAGTGATCCAGTTGCCCTTTTTATTCCAGTGGCCAGACAGCAGACCATCTTCCCACTAAGGGAAGCGATCGATAAATAAAGCTCATGACGGAATCCTTACAGTGATTTGTAGCATCTTTGCTTTCTATTCAACTTTCGCGAATCGGTTGCATGTTAAGCATTTTTATGACTGTAATTCTTTTTGGTAAGACGTATGTGAACAAATCGTTGCAAGGAAGTGCGCTAGATAGCAGTTTCAACGACAAAACGACAGAATGAACCAGCTAGCTTCCAACGTTTGTTCGCAGGTATCTTCGAGATATCACTCGTGAAGTCGCAGAAACAATCCTCTGAGGTCCAAGCCTATTGGCGCTGGTGACTAGCCTATTGAACTTCGTAATAGTGGCCGATGAAAGTTTCAAAGAGCTTCTGAACCGTCATACAGTGCAACACAACCAAACAGTTCGTCGGAGCTAAGTGGTGATTGCTTCTTGAGGAGTTAAAACACTGTCCATCCCGGAGTGGATATATTTTATGTGACGAAATCAAAGAAAAAACTCTAAGCTATCAAAACAAATACATAAGATATACATCAGAAACTCCTAGTGTTTGAAATTGGAAATTGACAGCAGCAACCTCTTGTTACCGTAATTTTTGCCCAACCTGTACATTGATGCACTAGTACCATTTGTAGGAAACGAATCAGAACAGATGTTAGCTTCACATCGCGATCCGCGACTGTACTTTAAAATCAATTTTGGTTATTTGTTGTTCGAAGATAAAAGTGTTCAGTTCCGATGAAGTATCAAATGGTGATGAAAAACTATGGAGCACATGGTACAACGCGTTGCCGATATGGAGATAAGAAAGAAGTAGCGATAAAGCGCATCATCAGTGATCCAATGGATGGTACCATATCTTGTCCTCCTCATAGAGCCTTCCCGGAAGTGGGGTAAGGTTCAGTTCACGGACTGAGGTACGAGGTGCGCCTGGCCATAAAGTGTGTGCTCCAAGCTCTGTGCTGTGCGAACTATTTCACTTCCAGGCATGACAGGGAAACCAGCATGTGTGCGGTACGCGGTGTTGGGACTTTTTTAAGCGGAACAACTTTTTCACAGAAGAATGATATAAAAGTTGAAGGCGGAGTTTACGATGAAGAAGCAGCACTAATCGA